CAATGCGATAATTCAAAACAGATATTTGAATTAGTTCATTTTTTTGAGTTAATCAATTAAGACGTTCAATTCAGGCTTTGTTTGCAATGGCTTTCTTCATTTAAAGGGATTAATGTATTCATTGTAATTTAAAAAATACCATTTAAAAAATTCTAACTGAATTCAATGCAAAATATACCTCTTTCTCTAATTTTTGCTATGTAAAGCAGTGTTAATTTTATGTCATTAAACAGTATATGCATTTTGTCATTCCCTTCCTACGTCCCCTTCCCTTCCAAAAACACGACATCATAGAACTGTGGTAACTATAACATAAGAAATATCAACGAAAGGATGATACAGTTACACGTACTGACGGCTAAAGTGGTGAAATGGGGGCTGGGATTCGCATTTTTTGGGGCTGGGAAAATGGAATTTTATGCACTGGGAATGGGATTCACAAACAAATAAAAAGCAAAAAATGGGAATGGGATTGAGATTTGAACAAAACATAGGCTGGAACTTTGAGATTAGGTCAAATTGGTGGTTGGGAAATGGGATTAGGACACCCCCTCCCCTTGTGGACCCTTACCATGTGAGGGATATTACCGGCACACAACTTTGCACAACGACGCACAAACGCCGGCTGTAAATAGGAACTGAGATATCGAGATGTGGGCTTCCTGAGCTATTTAGCGGCAAATAAGAACATGGGGCCTGGTAACAAGTATTACCACAGGGAGACCGCGTTATAAAAAAATAAGAGTTCAAATTGTTTTTGCTTTATAGTACCTTATATTTAACATTATACTCTGAGATATTAAGGTATAGGACTTGTATTTTACTTTTAGAAAAATAATAGGAAAAAAAAAAAAAAAAAAAAAAGTATTTACGTGTCATTAGTCGTGTCATTACACTAATCTAGTTTGGGCTCCCTGTCGATCGCCAAGTCACTGAATGAACTTTGAACAGTAGTTTTGAATGCTTTGAATCACGTTTTATTAGTTCAATAGTTGGGATAAAGTCTTTCATAAAATGTGGAAAGCAAGAATTTGGACCTTAAAGACTGGTCTAAGCAGAGGTAAGTCTTGTTTGTGCTTCGAATCGTAGATTTTTTACGTTTTACCGGGTTTTACTATCAATATGTTATGCAACTCCTCGACATTGATCAAACAGCGATTCAAAGTTTAAGATGCCGAGTTTTTTCATCTACAACGGAACAGTTCCCAAAGATTACTACACACTATACTGTAGTTCCTCGAGAGAAAGATTCAAGATGGAAAGGTAGGAAAACTGCTTATCGTTTTACTACATGTATATGGTACGTTAATTTTTATTATTAGTTTGTTTGATGATGTGGTGCGGTGTTTTCTTAAAACCATGTGGTAAAAAATTGAAAAAATAATCATTGAATGGCTTATAATAACACATACATGCTCATTATTTGAACACAGATGTAGATATGGAGAGATTTGGAGACGAAGCTGATGTTGTTATTGTTGGTGGTGGACCTGCAGGACTGTCTGCTGCCATTAGAATCAAGCAGTTGGCTAATGAAAATGGAAAAGATATAAGAGTGTGTTTAGTAGAAAAAGCATCAGAAATAGGTGATTACATATAACAACTGAAATAATCTTGTAGATTAATTATTTGTTAAATACCTGTATACAGATTATCAACACCACCATCATCGTCATCATTGCCACCAATGATACAAGGCTTAAAATAACATTGGACATCGGACAATGTCTGGCCAGAACTGACCAGTCATGACCAGCAACCGATCGGCTGTTATTTTAAGTCCTGTGATAATCATTAATTTTTTCATTATACACCTTCCCACAGTTTTCCATGTACCTTTACATACTCCAATGATTTACTTGATTGACAGTTAATCAATCCTGATTCTCTCATACGTAGGAATGAAAACAGTGTTAAAAAATACCATATTTATGCAATATTTTCTTTATTTAAGGTGGTCATACATTATCTGGAGCTTGTCTGGAGCCTCACGCACTTAATGAACTAATACCTGACTGGAAAGAGAAGGGGGTAAAATGAGACTTAAAATCTTTTGTACTCTTGTGCAATAAACATCAAATGAGTGTATCAGGGTTCGTGCTACTCCTTAAACTCCTTGAAAACTCCTTGAATTTAATTCATGTTTTCAAGGGCACTTGAAAAACTCTTGAATTTTATGATTTTAGCAAAACTCCTTGAAAACTCCTTGAATTTTGCTTCGGTCATTGCTTGCATGGTTCTGAAATAGATCTAGTCAGAAAGATTGAAAAATCTGAAAGTCATAGGCATAGTTAGCTGAACATAGTCCTTGAATTTTAAGTGGTTACCTCAGCACGAACCCTGGTGTATATATACAGACCTCATGCATGACAATACCATAATTTTTTTTACCATAATTTTTCATAGGCTCCACTTCATACCCCTGTGACAGGGGACAAATTTTTGATTTTAACAGAAAAAGGAAGCATTCCAATACCTATTTTTAAAGGTAAGTAATGCTAAAATACTTCGATTTTAGTAACACTAAATCATACACATTTGATAAAAGAATACCAACCTTTGAGAAGAATTAATGAACAGTACTATGCACACTGTATTTGTAAGCACTTGTAGTATTATGCCAATCTCATCAAATACTATGAGTGAATACCGGTGGTATTCATCAAGAGCAAAGATGGTATTTCCTATTTTAACATATTTTCAAAAAAACTTGATTGTAACACATGTTTATGAATTGGCTAATAGTTTTGAGTATCATTGAAACTGTTCAATTAGTTGATTGCACAGTGTGATTTATTAATATCTAATAGATGTTTATTCATTACGTTCAGGTCTTCCTATGTACAATCATGGGAATTACATTGTAAGGCTGGGTAACTTTGTTCGATGGCTTGGAGAACAGGCTGAAGAGCTCGGAGTAGAAATATACCCTGGATATGCTGCAAGTGAAGTGAGTTTTTCAGATGTTTTTTAAACATCAACAGAAAATTAGAAAATGGTTTTTAAGGGGGCAGGGTGAAGGGCCAAAAAAAACTAGGGGAGGGAGGGTCATTAAATTTTTACACAGCCAGAAAGGAATGGTCATCGTCTGTATTTTCATCTATAATCTAAAGTTCTGTCACTGAAGAAGACTGAAAGAATAATGAGGAGGGTCACAAAATTTGTTTTTTTGAAGAGAGGCAGGTTTTTTTGTGATAATTAGAGAAAAAATCTTGTGGAAAAAAAGAATAATTGCCACCAATTTTAGATTTGAACTCCTTTTCCAACAACTCAAATAGGTTTTATACCATGAAGATGGAAGCGTTAAAGGTATTGCTACCAATGATGTTGGTATTCATAAAGATGGTTCTCCAAAGGTAGGTTTATTTATCATTTTCTATCGCATAACAACTTCTGTACACCCTAGTTAACAGTATTTAGCATTGAAGTGTGTTGTAAAGTGTGATCGTCTAGATGAGTGTAGTCTTAAGAAAGACTGGTGGTGACTGTCATTTTGACAACATAAGCAGAAGTCATCTTCAGAGTTCAGTGAGAAAACGAAAGAGTATTGAGTTTGATAATTAAAAATAAATAACACTATATTTTAGACAGTTATTGATGGTTGTATTCTAGGACACATTTGAAAGGGGAATGGAACTACATGCCAAGGTGACTCTATTTGCCGAGGGATGTCATGGGCATTTGGCTAAAGGACTGTACAAGAAATTCAACTTGAGAGAAAACTGTGATCCTCAGACATATGCTATTGGAATAAAAGAGGTGAGAAATAAAAGTATTTAAAATAGTGCAACAAAGATCTTGGTTATGCTATTATGATTTACTTTTTTTAATATTTTTTTTTCCAGTTGTGGGAAATCAGCCCTGAGAAGCACCAGCCTGGTTTGGTTGAACACACTGTTGGTTGGCCATTGGTATGTTTACCTATAATCATAAGTATACATAGAGGTTATTTACCAGCCAGGAGGTCCAGATAGGGAAAAAGTGCTCAAGGTCTTGAATATTTGGACTAAGGCTAATACAGTAGGCCAAGGGCACAGTTTTTTTCCTATCCAGACAAACCTTAGGATGGTAAATAACTCATATTTTTCTAATAACTTTTTATCTTGTTTGGCAAGTTTTTTGTTGTTGTTTGGCAATCTGTTACAGTATCTCAGGATACTGGACTGCAGTCAGTGATACAGTAGCTAGAAAATGCACATCCACTTGTGCAGCCAATTAGGACATACATTTTTAGGGTACAGGACTACAAGAAAAAAAAATGAATTGTCAGTCTGTTGGTCAGTTAGTCAGTTGTTTGTCAGTCGGTTGGTCAGTAAGTGATTCTAAATATTAAGTTAGTTATCATCACCACCAGCACCATCATCATCACCATCCTCATTTTTATTTTTGTGCATCCTTGCTTCAAATTCCCACTAGGCTGATGTCATTTGAATTTTTTTCTTCAGGATCGTAAGACATATGGAGGTTCATTTATTTATCACCTTGACAGAGAAAAGGAGGGTGCTCCTCTTGTTTCAGTTGGTTTTGTTTTGGGGCTGGATTACAGTAATCCTTACTTGAGTCCATTCAAAGAGTTCCAGGTAATCAATTGTTTATGGTGTTAACAGACCCTTTTAGCTTTCCCATTTATGACCATGTGTCATTCTCTTGAGAATATGATTCTTTGTTTAAGTTGTAACCATATCCTTGTGTTTTTTCTGAAATAATACTCTAGAGAATGACACATGGTACCCTGAAATGGGGAAAAATACACCTAAGCTGAAAAGGGAACATTTTGAAAGAAGTGAAATAAGGTTCAAAGATTGAGGTGAAATTTCAAAATATTCTTTTTTTCAGCGCTACAAGACTCATCCAGCAGTAAGGCCAACATTTGAAGGAGGTAACAGAATAGCATATGGAGCCAGAGCACTGAATGAGGGAGGCTTCCAGGTAATTAACTACTGTCGTAAAACTTTATTAAATATCTGTCATTAATCCTGCTTTCTGATTGGTTGGGTGTGTGTTCTTTATTTCAACACACATCATGCATCCAGCTTGTACTGTCTTGGTTGTGTAATACAGTAGATCACTTCCGAGATATGCTTTGCTTGTCATGCATGAAGCCTTGTTTCGATGTGAAGCTTTGTGCATAATTTTACGACAGAATTGAATAACAATAATAACTATTTGTTGTGAAATGTGATTGTCTGGGTGAGTGTAGTCTTGAGAAAGACTGTTGTTGGTGGTGTCTGATGTTTCGACAACCTGAGTGGAAGTCATGTCATAGACATTTAGGGAACTTTAAAAAAATCTGAGCCTCAGATGGGAGTCGAACCCACAACCCTCTGTATGCTAATCTGATGCTCTAACCACCAAACTACTGGTGACTCTATAGTGAGCATGGCTTATCTGTGGGTTTGTGATAAGAGAAAAAAATAGATTTAATTTAGGACATACTACCTCATACTAAAACCTTTGTGCATGAAGCATATCTTGGAGTGGACAATCATGAAAATCATGTCCTATATTTCTCTCCATGCAGTGTATTCCGAAGCTAGCATTTCCTGGTGGTGCTTTGATTGGATGCAGTCCAGGATTCATGAATGTACCAAAGATCAAAGGAACACATAATGCAATGAAAAGTGCAATGGTGGCAGCTGAAAGTGTGTATGAGACTCTGACTGATGAGAACCGCAAATCAGACACACAAGGCAAGTAGAATTTGCTCCTTCAAATTTTAATGAACCCTGAAGCAACCTCTGGGCTTATACGTAAAAGGCAGGGCATGGCCAACTCACAGATTAATCCCTGAAACAACCTTTGGGCTGATCAAAGTCAGAGCACAGTCAACTCACAGATCAAACCCTCAAACAACTTCTGGGCTGATCTAAGTCAGGGAATGGCTAACCACAGATCGAAGCCTGAAACAACCTCTGGGCTGATCAAAGTCAGGGAATGGCTAATTCACTGAAAAACTGGTGAACCCAGATAAGAACCCTTGAATTAAGGGGAAAACATGTGATACCGAGTCCTGGATTTGAACCTGAACCCCCTTGAGGTCAGAGGTGAAAGCACTTGCACGGCTGTCCCTATAGAGCCTCATCAGTTTTATGACTCAAATTTTTATCATTTTGTTATCATTATTTTATTTTGTTTTTTACTTTATTTACTATCTTTTCACTTCGAACATATCATTCCAACATATCAATATGGCTAATGATGAGAAAGTTCAAATAAACGATATGTTTGGTGATGGTTCATAATAATAATTTATTTGGCTAACAGACTTTATTTGAATTAACTTTAATGTACAGGTCTTTACTTGGAGTCGTATGAGCCAAACTTGAAAAACAGTTGGGTTTGGAAAGAACTGAAGAGCGTACGAAACATCCGCCCATCATTCCACACACCACTTGGTCTGTATGGGACGTTAGCCTATTCCGCAGTCTTTTATGTCCTGTTGAGAGGTAAAGAACCATGGACATTCCGTACCCCTAAACCAGACGCATCCTGCCTGACCCCAGCTAAAGATAACAAACCAATAGAATACCCCAAACCAGACGGCGTAGTCTCCTTTGACCTCTTGTCATCAGTGGCTCTTAGCGGTACAAATCATGACGGGGATCAACCCCCTCACCTTACCCTTAAGGATGACACTGTACCTGTTAAACAAAACCTTGCCATCTATGACGGACCTGAGCAGAGGTTCTGTCCTGCAGGGGTGTATGAGTATGTTCCCCTGGAGAGCGGCGAGGGGATGAGACTACAGATAAATGCACAAAATTGTGTGCACTGCAAGACTTGTGATATCAAGGATCCTAGCCAGAACATCAACTGGGTCGTTCCTGAGGGGGGAGGGGGACCGGCCTATAATGGCATGTGATGCTTGAATTTTAATTTATGAATCGGTGTTAATAGTGATATCTGATGTCACCTTTATGGATTGTAGCCCTTTTATTCGTTAAGTCTTTTTTCTCGTAATTAAATCGTATCTCAGGATATAGCTATGTAGTCTCCTACGGAGCCGCTATAGTTTTGTCACGCAACGTAGGGGAGTGAACTATTAGTGACGACACTAATAGCCCCTGCGTAGGAGACGAACAGCTATAATAATATAAAAGAAAGAGGTCATTCGAGAACGTTTTAGACTTTTAAGGCTTCCTTGGCTAAATTTGGATACACTCTTTAATGTGCTTAATTGCAAGTCTGACACAGGAAACCCAACTTAAGGTAAAAGTATTTAAAAAACAGGAAAAAAGAAAAGACAAAACTTGAATTAGACAGAGATAGTCTGCCCAATTGCTGCAAGTGAAAATCACTTCGAAATATCTTCATTTATTTTTTGTTGGATTGTAGCATTTATCTCGACCGATAGGATGCATATTGCTTTGTGTTTTCTAGAAACGAGAAAAAAGCTTTAACCAAAATATCACCCCTACGAATATGACCCGAGTTCTTTGTCATGTTATAATAATAATATCAATCTTTTGCTTGCAATCATAATTATTGTAATTATTGTACATCCTTTACAAAAATGTAATTCTAACTTGTCGTTCATCAGTTCTTAAAGAAAATTATGTGAATATTTAAGGTTTTTATTTTGAAAGTATTATATACACTGGAGTATAAGATAAATTTTAACTAATAAAATTATTAAAGTACACAAGGCTTGGTTTATTTACAATGTGGTAGATGACGCTTGTTAGAGTAAGGATTGGACGCACGTGACAACAGGGGCATATCTAGGGGGAATCCTAGGGTGCCTGTGATTCCCCCTTTCTAGCTTGGAACTCAGTTGTTTCTAGCAAAAGGTGGGTTTTCTACATTTAGTGATGCTGTGTGTGAGCCTTTAAGGATTTCTTCGTTCTACTGTTCCCTGACAGGCTCAGTTGTTTTCCAGCTCAGAAACAATAATGATTTCATTGTTTATTTTTGTTTAGTCTTTTCGTCCAGTCGTAAGGTTTCCACCAATCGGCAAACTGTAAGACCTTCTTCTTGTGTTGCTCGAAGTTTTCTTTGTGTGGTTTGAGCCATGCTCTCGGTTCCAGGTCCAACATTCCGCCAATAATTTCCTACGGGAAAAAGTAAATGAAATAATAAATGAATGAATGGACGAAAGTTAGATTAGCAGGCTACATTGAGAATCGTTAAGATACATGTTTTTCTTGTATTCTTCCACGTGGAAAGGAAAAAACCATACTGAAACCACCTAGTATATAGTAAATATGCGTGCCGTGCCGTGACGCAACCGTGTCCGAGCATTCTTATTGGCTGAGCATTGATTGCGCTTGCTGTGAACTGTGATTGGCTTCAAGGATGTCGTCCATCTGTACCGTGACCGTGACAGTACAACGTCTGATCATTTTTTGGCTAAGCATAGATTGCGCACGCTTTGATTGGTGTCAATCCGTACTGTGACCGTCCCGTTGTGATCTGCTGTTTCATATTGACATTCATACGAATTCTGCTTTATGACTGTACGTCATCCTTAGATGTAACGCAAGGCACACATCCTAGTGAATGCTCTCATCTATTAATCCACATTTTATATGCGCCTTATGACATTTGAATTTGGTTTGACGAGGGTGGTGGTAGGATTGGCTTAGTGAGACACTCAAAGTTCCTTTAATCCTTACCTTTCCAAAGTAATGCGGGAAAGCATGTTCGTCTTCGATGACATGAGCGTATCCTCCATCTAAACCAAACTCGACACTAAAATATGGCAAACCCTTTGGTATCGATCCTCGTAAGCCTTTCTCTTTTGTGTCTACCAGCTTTTTGTTTTGCGCCCATTCAGATTCAGACTCGAGAATTGCTTTCTGAAATAACATAAGGGAGAGTTCAAATGAGAGTAATAATTTTGCGCTTAAGACTAATGTCAAACGTCGAACTTCACATGAGCCATACGCATTGGAAACAATGGATATAGCCATTCTGAGGCTGAAAAAAAAGACTGCGTCGAGTTGACAATGAAGTGCATGGTGGGGCTGTTAGGGGGCGAAATAGACGCCATCTTGACAATATGTCCCCTAAAACAGACCCACAATGCAATGCAATGTCAACTCGACCCAGTTTTTTCCTCAATCTCGGAAGGGCTAATAATAATAACGGGGTTCTTATGTAGCGCATTTCACATGGTCTCAATGCGCTTCACAATCATGACCAGTGGAGGACTTTACAGGCTGCGTATTTAATAAGGTGGTCTTCTAATAGGTTCGTATCTCTGATCACTTTACGTCATCGCTACCATGTTGGAACCATGTCTGTGTTATTTGACTTTCTCTGGGATGCACGCAGGTTTATTAAATATTAATATTTTAAACAGTTTAATAGTAATATTTATAATATATGAATCACCTACTTTGAAATACATGGGAGCCATTTCTCCCTCTTCCTTGGGTAGGGGAACACACTCGATTATCATGTGGTTTTGCCTGGCAATGTTTCGACACGTCTCTAGGAACACCACATCTTTGTCCTGTTCATACAAAAACGCAAATACATTATTCATGTCAAAAGAGGCCAATAGTCCCCTTCACAGTTTCCCTGCGCCATCTTGAAAGGTTGCCGTGCCTTTGCATCGAAGCGAGACGAACGGTGAGCTTGCAATGATAGAGACCTTTTTAAACACCTTTGACAATTATTCGCATGTCTCTATCATTGCAAGGTCACCGTTCGTCTCGCTTCGATGCAAAGGCACGGCTACCTTTCAAGATGGCACAGGGAACTGTGAAAGGGACTATTGTCCCAGAGTAAAAATACACAGGAAGCCCAATAGTCTTCCACCCATCTTTGAAAGATGCGAATATTATATGGTGTATACAATAACAATAAGAAAATATTTATTCAAAACAAAATAAACAATCTCTATCTACAAACTAGTATTACCATGTCAAGAAATAATCTTGTCAGCCCTTTTTTGAATACCTGTAAGTAACAAGAAATAAAGATTCCGAATTGATGAAAAAAACTGAGTCTAGTTGGCATTGCAGTGCATTGTGGGACTGTTTTAGGGGGCAAATTTCCAAGATGGCGTCTACTTCGTCCCCTAAAACAGTTCCACAATGCATTGCAATGCCAACTGGACCCATTTATTTCCTCAACCTCGGAATGGTTAATTCTATTCATACTGAATATGTGGACCTTTTCATAGTAAGACATACACGAGATTTTTCACCTAGCCTGCGAGCTAAGTCCCTCTCGATTGGTCAAGATAGATTGGTTACGAGTCAAAAGTCCCTTTGACTCGTAACCAATCTTCCTCGACCAATCGACACGGACAGACAGACGGACAGTGACCAAGGGAAAAAGAGGGACTTAGCTCGCAGTCTACTTTTCACCTCAAGCTATTAATATCTTACTTTGATTTCGTCTACCACATTCTCATCAAGGTATGTCGATGCGACTTGGTGTTGCATTGGGACAATCAAACAGTGTCCTTCGGTAAGTGATGTATGTAATGGCAGTGCCAAGTACACCTGAAATGGTATGAAAAGACAATTAAATCTTAAGGGGGTGGGGGATGGGGGAAGAAGGAGCGCAAGTCAGGCTTTTGGAAGAGCATCTTCAATTGACATTTTTGATACTATACTCCAGTGGCGGATCCAGGAGGGGTGCAGGGGGTGCTCACCCCTCCCTGGTTCGACTTTGTGCTCCTATACTTCGAAGATAACCAATACAAAATAATACAGTTGATAGATAGATAATTTGTAACACCGTATGGTATGTAAAAATGAAACTGACGTTTCGGACGTTAGTCCTTCATCGGAGTGAAAAATAATGTTTTGCACCCCTCCCTGGGTTAACTTTGTGCGCAGCACCCCTCCCTGAACAAATTCCTGGATCCGCCCCTGTACTCTTCGTTCAAAATTATCCTGTATGCGAAGCCAACATGAAAATACAAAAGGATGGTAAAAATTCCATTGAGAAAAACCTTAATTTCTTGCTAAATTTATCTTTTAATTTCCAATTAGGTCTACAGGTATGATAAACTATTGAGAGGCATTAAACGCGACCACATAAGAGTTAGGAAGGCATGTTCCTTATTCATCGATTACCTGAATACCGATTGCAATAATAAGATGTTTGGCCAAATCTGGGTTCTCGAAACAAAATCTACATTTCGATAGCTGTTCCGATAGGCGTTGATGTTCTGAGAAAGGGAAAATAAGAACAACTTTGACATAAAATACTGATAAAAGAAATTAACAGAAATGTCTTTTCACAAGGACATAAAAACAAAACAAAAAACACACACACACAAAACAAGGAAATAAGGGCGAAGTTCTTAGCTGTCCCTTAGCTATTGCACCCTAGCCCCTACCCATCCCCTACCAACCCCCTCCCTACCCTCCCCCGGCCCATCACCTACGTCCATTCTTTCACGCACCTCGAATAGCTCTCATTCGATCTCTTTCTTCTTCTTTTGCCTTGGATAGTTTATTTGCGGCTCCAGTAACAAAGTGGTCATCAAGAGTGAAGTCATCGGAATCAGTTTTTGTTGCTCCCTGGAAAACGATCAGACCGCGTGTATTTGTAAATATCTTTACACATTAAAGTATTACTTTGAATATGATGCACCTTAAGGTTTGCTACTTAAAGTGAGTAGATCTTGAATGACTGTGACAAGGCACGGCAACAGAGGTTTTGCACCATCACGTGCCATAATCCAGCTTGGACTGCCTGTGGCTTGGAAATTGAATTCTTTCTCATGTAAAACATTTGTATTGTTCCTGCCACCTAACATAGCTACCGTCACGTGATGGTGCAAATCCTCAACTCCTGGTATTTTCATGACCTGCAGCGAACCGTGACCACTGCTCCTGTACAACGGTATACGTATGAGTGAGAAGAGATACAACAAAACCGTATGTTTCCCACTTATAAGAAAACCATTCTTATGGGAAGCCATTTCAATGTTACGGCAATTCGTACAATGTGCGTACTGAAACTCAGTACCGTATGCTTCCCATTTATACGAAAAAAGCTCTAATCAGAATTCTTCGACTCGCAAGTATACCGTTCAGTCACAGGACGGTACGTCTTGTTAAGCGTAACTCGGTCTATGAGTTATACTGGTTTTTCGTACCTTGGATGCTAATCTTGAGAACATAGAGTCATAATCCTCGGCTGTGTTCATCTTTTCTCTTCGAACCATCTCTTTCAGGTCATATCGATCGTCATCTGCAAAGTATCGCTCACGCTGTCCAGATTCATCGTGTGTAGCAGCCTTTACAAAAGGAGTGAATTTAACTAAAAGTACTCCCCCAAACAGTCTATAATCCATAACCAACCATTCCTCATCCTTCATCATCGTTGTCATTGCCATCATCATCGCCATCATCATCCATCATGTATCGTCGTCGTCATCATCGTTATCATTATTGTCATCATCATCCTCTTTCATCATCGTCACCATCATCATTATCCTCATCATTGTCATTATCAACCATCATCATCATCATTCTCGACGTCGTCGTCGTCATCATCATCATTTTCTACGTCGTCGTCATCATCATACTGAGTCACCATCGATCATCCATCGATCATCCATCATCATCACCACTATCGTATTTACCAGAACCATCACCATCATCTAGCATCACCATCATCTATCATCCATCACCATCATCATCACAAGCCGAAATACATTATCAATTAATATGTGATAACATCTTGCATACAAACTCCCCATCACCTTTATTTTCACCTTTTCTTTTTTCCTCCTTCGTTGATGTGATTCTGGACTTTCTGATATATTCACAGGTCTTGTATTCCCAAACTTATCAGTTCTCGTCAATACTACCACCTCCTCTTCTCTCCTCTCCTTGTCCATTGAGCCAGACGCTTCTTGTGCTTCTTTGTCTTTTCTCATTTGCTCCAGGGTTGCCTTCAGTTCTGATGCCAAGTCCTGTAAAAGAACACAAAAGTTTACATCGTATTAAGATACATTATTTGGATGTTTTTCTCCATGGTTCCCCAGTGATCAGTACCCCATCCCTCCACATAACCTAGCATGCTTAATCCCAATTCGATCTGTGAGTTAGCCATTCCCTGACCTTGATAAGCCCAGAGGTTGTTTCAGGGATTAATCTGTGTTATCCGTGCCCTGACTTTGATAAGCCTAGAGGTTGTTTCAGGGATTAATCTGTGTTAGCTGTGCCATGACTTTGATCAGCCCAGAGGTTGTTTCAGGGTTTAATCTATGTTAGCCGTGCCCTGACTTAGATCAGCCCAGAGGTTGTTTCAGGTCTGTGTTAGCCTTGCCCTGACTTTGATCAGCCCAGAGCTGGGTATCTCATCATGCAGGATTTCTTTTACAAACCTCGTTTCCCATTAACTCGGCCCGTAGTATCTTCGCTCCCATACTGTTCAAATCTGCCTCCGTAACTCTCTTCTTAGGAACAGCAGGTTCTGTCATCACTTCCCGCTCAACACCTTCACTTTCATCTTCTTTTATGCACTGATTCTTAGGATTTTTAGTTTTCTCTGAAACTTCATCGACTTCAGACTCCGACGACTCCGAGCTGGAGGTCTCTTCATCTTTTTCTTTTTTCTCTTTTCTTTTCTTTAACGCTTGTTCAATACGATTGGTTTTGGTACTCATTTCGTCCGACGGATTCTTCTTCTTCCATCCTCCATATTTGCTTCCTCTTTCTGTCCCTGTCTTGCTGTTTGGATCCCATTTCATTGAGGAGCCACCAGTGGAAGAACTCGATACCCCTTCGCCTGGCTTCTTGAATTTGAGTGACGATAGTGAATCTGAACTGAAAAGATAGTGAAATAAAAACATTGGTAATATCTGGTAAAGGCCAAACAAGAGCCAAGCCAATCATGAGTGTGTTCTCTCTCCATAACTCTCACACCTAAAGAGAGGTGTTTTCCTGAGTGTGCGAAGAACCCATGGTTTCTCTCTAACAAATCAAAATGGGAGAAACACATAACAACAATACTGAAAAATAGGAATCCATTTGAGTTTATATTGGGAAGCCATTTAGATGTCACCATAGCGTTTGTTTTCAAAACTGAATGAAAATTTGTTAATACGAAAAACGAATTTCAGATGGATAAGGTTTTAAGAATTTCAAGTTTAGCAAACCTACCGTCCACTCGTAGTGTCTGCCCGTCTAAACATATTTGTGTCAGTCCTACTTGGCCTTTTATCCCCGCCGGGCCTGGAGTAGCTGTTGCTAATCTTGTCATGTCCACCTCTAGATATATTTTCTGAATCTCTGTTATTGTCTCTTCGGTCTTCAACCCTTCTTTCTGTCCGTCGATTTTGAATTTCACTCCTGTCTCTGTCATTGACTTCATGTCGTTGCCTGTCATAATCACGATGTCTATCTCTGTCTCCTTTATCATCTCTTCTCCTATCTCGATCTGTGTCTTCTCTTTCATTGTGCCTGCTTCGTGACCGTTCCTTGTCTCCTCTTCTGTCTCTCTCCCAATTTCTTTGGTTTCTCCCGCGTTCTTCAGAAGACCTAGTACAGAAAAAAAAATACTATCATTATCGCTGAAGTGCGACCTAGCCGACAAGTATTTCGACGGTTGTCACTCAATATATTGTTTCATTTCAGTTCTTTATAATTGAAGGCCATCGAAATGCTAGTCGACAAACAAAGACATCAAGCTTTGTCAGCTGCACTTCAACGATAATAGTAGTAATGTACATAAAAACAAAAACACGACACATAAACAATAACTACATCAAATAGTTTGGATGCTATTTTACAGTTACCTGCTTTCCGCCTTAGAGATCATTGTCTTTAAATGTTCAAGAGACTGCACAAGAAAAGAATAATCGAGTAATTAGTTAATGAAGAGGCAAAAGATTATTACTGGGGTACCTTTGATATCACAGTCCAAAAATGGAGGAAAATTAGTCGTAAAAATCTGTTACGATCCACAAAGTCACCTATAGACACATGATGTATACAGTCCTTTGAAAACCCTTGGCCGCTGACCGCCTTCACAGGACTCCAACCAGTGCCACGGTCCAAAACATTTTTTTTWAAATTGCATTTTTTGCAAAATTTCGGAATAGAATCGGTAGTTATTTATAATAAAATAAAAATCATAGGATAAAAACTGCAAATTCAGCGTAAAAAAACCGTCTACGTTCCGTACGATCCAGCAAAACGAGGTCCATTCCATTCCATCTATGTACGGTTCCGGATTTTCCAAAATTAAAAAACACTCAAAATTCGGCCATTTAGAAGAGGAAAACAAGTTTTAGAAGTTGGGCATGTTTATGCTTCACATTAAGATTATCCATGGCCTTTCAAAAGGTGAAAATTCAAAACTTGCCAAAATCCAGACTGGAACTGGAATTGGAGTTCCAGATTGAGTTTTTATCAGTATTTTTGGAAGCTCAACCAACTAAATACTCCATGCACGTTGAAACCAGGTCCTCCACCCCCTTTCAGGTATCCCAGTCAACACTGCCTACAGGGTCTTGTTATATTACTTTTATGGATATCCATATGTTCGAAATAACTTTATTGGTTATCATATTAGGGACTGTTCATTTTTTACTGGCAGCGGGAAGGGGTGAAATTTTGTAAATATTTTGAGTAAAAAAATATGACCCCCCCCCCCCGCCTCAATTTTTTTGTGGCCCCCTATTAAAACAGGATAAGTTTGTAAATAAATTTTCTATTTTGCTAATTATTTTTTGGGTGCCCCCCCTTAAATGTCATATTTTTTACATGGCCCCCCTAAATCCCACCAGCCTCCCGTGCTCGTGAAAAATGAATGAATGAATTGTCGCTTAGGATTTTTTTAAATCCCCAACCAGCCTCATATCTGTCTGGAGGCATAACACTAATGTACTAATGAATCACTCATGATTGTAAGCTGCACGGCTGCTACTAGTGCCTTAATATGCAGCCTGTAAAATCCTCCACTGGTCATTAATGTAAAGCGCATTGAGACGTTGTATAAATGCGCTATACAAGAACCTCCCAATATCATTATTATTATTATTCTCTCATTCTGTAGACATCACCAGTTCGTTGGTAAGCACAGCATCTGCTATGGAGTTGATGAGCATTCATGACTTGTACAAGTCTAGCAAGATTTGGTACATACCCCCCAGCGATCAGCAACTATATCCTCTAATGGGCACCCTTCTTGTTCTGCTTGTTCAATGGATCTTTGCAAAGATTTTTTTAGCCACTTCACATCATAGACAATTGAAGTATCTAAATAACAACAGTGGATATATTGTAAATGCACCACATCATCATCATCATCATAATCATATAACATATTGTCATCATATCATTGTCATCAATTTTCCTTCAGTGTCTCTATACTAACCAGAGGGTTTTTTAGTCGACTCTGATTCCTCAGTTGGCAAGCCCACTCCTCCATCCTTCCAATATGGATTCAGCTCCCTAGCATGTTGTCCAGCCTGAAAATATTTGGAGGAGTTACAATGAGTGATAAGCATCCAATCTCATTTAAAGAAGCTAAACATATACAAATACAAATTCATCAGTGCTTAGTTGTGAACACCACATTTCACTCTCTTTAAACAAATTTAATTATTATTTTTATTATGATGATGACGACAATAACAATAACAATGATAATAATCATAAATAGTGTAATACACCACAAACCTTTTGGGGATGGGGGGGGGGGGGGGTTACTCTTGCCTGTTTAGGGTAGGGATGTGCCGCTGAGCCCTCTGAACCCTGACCCTTTTCCAGAGTAAAAATCGCTGAAATTCATACCCTGTTCCAGAGCAAGATCGCTGAAAACCCTGTTCTAGAGAGGAGAGGGCGTGATTTCACATACCCTGTTCCAGAGTAGAATCGCTGAAAACCATACCCTGTTTGGCGGCATGTACCTGTATAGCGAATATAGTGGAGTACCCCCCTCCCCCAGGAAAACTTTACCATATCTATGGCTGATAGCTTTTTCTCTTCTTCTTGTTCCTCCGGTTCATCCACTTCTTTCCTGGTCAGTGTTCTTGTACTTCCAGAAAAACAAGGAAACATCATCCAGCTATCGCGCTAGGAATTTAAAGAAACAAAAATAAGACTCATTTCCTTGGGCATCAAAGAATTGGGAAATCATGATGCTACCTAACCTGAGCTGAAGACTCTTTCTTTTCATCGGTGACATTCTTGGTGTCATCTTTAATGCTTTCGTCACCCTTTTCAACCCATTCATCAGACGAGTCCTATAAGACACCATAACCTCAAGTTATAATAATAACCCACTTCCTATGTAGATATCTACATTTCTGTATGCAAGGCTGTTTTATCGATTATATGGTCTACAGTACTTAGCAAATCAAGGTCTCTTTTCTATGGCCTGTACTCTTATCAGACATGGAATGGCATCAGCATATGATCCAAACTCAAGGGAAACCACAAGTGCAGCGAAAGTGGGACTGAAGTAGTTTTGACACAAATAGCGTTACAGGCACAATGACTTAGGGTAAAAGCAAAGGCAGAGTCTTTAGAAAAGAATCCCTCAAGAAGGAAAGGGGTTATGGCAGGTTTGGTAATCTTCTATATCTGTTCCTGCAATGACTCTTGTGAAAGGTCACCTGTCTTCCCAATCCAATGTCATTTGGATCATATAAACTAATTCTGCAATATTATTATAGCACATTCAACACATTTTTTAAATTTTGACTTCATTTTTAATCAAACACTATAAAGAAAGAACAATATTATTTGTTGTGGACATAACAAATAGTAAAAATATTATTAACAGTACTTACTGAATCTGAACTTGCCTCTTTTTCTTTCTTCAATTTCTAAAAAATGGAAAAAAGAAAAAATGAATAAATTAAAAAATTAAAAACTTTTTTACAACAATGGCAGCTTTCCCCCCTGGTTGTTTTCGCCAAAAAGGTGCCAAGTTCAACACTCAAATGGATACCTTGTTTCTTCGATAAGATTTGTCAGAAAGTTGACATGACTCTTTTGTGATTAAATCAATTCAGATGATGATAAAAATAGTGTAAATTAAAGAAATAGTGTGATTAATGCAATCAGATTGCAGGATTTGCCAGTGATTACAAAATGGACATAATTTCCTCTCTGAATCCATTAATAGCCTTTTTCACAGTAATACCTTTGAAAAATGAAACTTTGACACTGCTCCCTTAAAAATCCTTTACCTTTTTCTGTTTCTTGTCTTTTTTGTCCTTGCTCTTTTTTTCCTTTTTCCTTTTCTTTTTCTTTTGAAACAAAGTAGCAATCAATGAATTACAGTAGTTTAAGTATCTGATGTTACCAAATATTCTCTCTCTCTTGGTAAAAAAATACTAGCCAGGTCCTTGAAAACTGCAGTAGCTAAGCGGCAGAGTATCAAATCAAACATCAGTCAAGTCGAAAGATATTTCAAACATTGATCGACAGGGGGAGGGGAAGGGAGATTGTCCCATATTTTACAATAACATTTCCCCATTTGCCCCATTTCTATAAATAATGAGCAGTTGCCTTCAGTAAGCTGTCTACTACTTTATATACTTTGGGATTGATACACCATTAACTACATTATCTGAAAAAGCTTTCGCAATTAGTATTCTAGTCATAGTAATAGCTGACATGTCTGTTGACTATACACAGCATTGCTCATTAGCTTCTCTTGTTAGATCAACCAAGATGGTGGCTGTTTCATTGTTATTTATATCTCAAGGGGTTTTGAGTCATGTGGTTGCACCCCAAGAATATATTATTATTATTATATTATATAAAAAAATGTACTCATATAAATGTACACACTGCATTAGGCATCCATCATAAGGTATGCATAAACTGAATCGAAATATGGCAATCAATTTAAATTACTGTTGTTCTGCACTTGACCAGCGACTGACTAGCCTCTCATACTGTACATGTGAAAAATGCTTTTATGTTTCTACTTGAACACGAGGCTAGTCAGTCGCTAGTTGGTGCAAAACAATAGTTATTCCAATTGGCTTCCATATTTCGATTCGGTGTATAAGGAAATAAAATATTTAGATAAGATGTAAGCTTACCTTAGGATGGTCGTTACTAACTCTTTCACTCAGACTCGGTAACATCCATGTATCTTCTCCAGTTTCTTTTCTTTTTGCGCGACGGCGTTCTTCCCTTTCGTAATCTGCTTTTGCCTAGAAATTATGTACAATCGATAAATACATTTGAAAACCGACAAGGAAAAAAATACTTCTGTGGTATTTTCTGACGTTCCATCGACGCAGTTCCTCTTCAGTTTTATAAACTCTTATTGTAAAAATACATGTTATCCAACAAAAAAGTTATGAAGAGAATGAACTAAGCAAGCCATACCTTATCCAATATTTTCTCCCTTGCCTTGCGTTTTTCTTCTTTTTTGGCGTTTAGTTCACTTGTTGATACAAACTTGACGACTTGATCCGCCATCTTGGATTGTACTTCTAAATGGAAAATCCGCTGACACCTTTCACTTCTTTCCACAGGGAGCCCAAAAAGTTCGGTTCTTGTCTCATTTTTCATATAGTTTATGGTTAATAAATGAATGCTTTGTTCTAAGGTTTTTGGAAAAAACATTTTTTTATTGTTTACCTTTCTTTTTTYCCCCCGGTTCTTTGATACCGGTTCCATGCTATAACACATTTACTGACACAAAAAACGAGCTTGGGCTCCCTGTGGTGGGCCAATAACTTCGGCACTGCATTCGTGCTTGATTGTCTACTTGATGCAAGATTATAGAGAAGGTTGTTTCAAAAGTATTTCATCCGTTCGCTTGTTAAAATTGTCTCAAAGGCTTTCTTAATGAATAGTTAAAGGTTTTGGTCGAGCTTTACTGTCATGTGAGATAATTGTATCTCTAAAATGGCGGGGTTTTTGAACACAGCAGTTGCACAACCCAAGCAGGATGATAGTACATCAAAGGTGTTWTTGATGCAGAGTGATGAGGGGATAAAAGAACTGGAAAACTTAAACCAGATTGATGTGCATCTTATTGGAGGAATAGATGTTGATGTGTCAAAGCATTATATTAAAGGTAGGATTAAACGAAACGCACAATGTTTTCCCATGCAATAGTCCCCTTCGCAGTTCCCTGCGCCATCTTGAAAGGTAGCCGTGCCTTTGCATCGAAGCGAGACGAACGGTATCATTGCAAGCTCACTGTTCGTCTCGCTTTGATGCAAAGGCACAGCTATACCTTTCAAGATGGCGCAGGGAACTGTGAAGGGGACTATTTGATGTTTTGCAGGCATTCCCAAGAGAGTCAAAAGACAAAAACATGGAGGCCATTTTGTTGCAGTTAACAATTAATGGATGCTAATGAGAAATATTTTGCTAAATGGCGCCCTGAACATAACCGCAGTGACATAATGTGCAATCAAAGAAATCAGACCATTTTTCATTCCCTAGAGAATGATTTTTTTGTTTAATGGTTATGCATGAAAAAAATCTTATTTTCAAGAAATGGAAAAGATTACTCCAAAGTTAAAAGGGTTCATTTCATTCAACCTTTAACTGCTGGAGTGGTCTTTTCTAGTGGCAGATCCAGGACTTTAAGAGGGGGGGGGGGGGGGGTTCATTTTTGCAAATCTCGGCACAACAATAACGTTCTCTTGCATCATCATTTTTCCCATGAGGCACATCACTGGCCTAGGGGCACTCCTGATAAGGATAACTTATCCACCAGTCCTATCTCATATTAAATCTCATGAGTTAGTACCATACCTTTATTTATTTATTTTAAAAAATATAAAAAATCCAAGGTACCAGCCGGGGGGGAGTTCATTTGCACCCAATGAACCCCCCTAAATCTGCCACAGTTTTTAACATATATTATTTAGTTCAATCAAATTTAAAATATTTCAAAAAATTTTAAATACATTGTTTTCTTCTAAATATTTTTCACAGGTCTTGTATTGACAGCATATCCATCTTATGCAACAAAGATACGTAAAACAAAGAAATTGGTTTTGAGCTGCAATTCACAACATTCTTCATCCCCAGAAAGTGCACATTCTGTCTCAGTCTTTTTAATTGGTGACRATGTCAATAACTATGATGTTTTAAAGCCCAATGACGTAATAATAATCAAAGGGTTTTCATTTGAGAAGCCAATTTCTGATGGTCAAAATGTTCAAATTCTTGTCAATCTACGAGATCCTGAGGCAAAAATATGGATTGTAAGAAGTAATGATACATCATCATCAAAACCTAAGCAAGCTCAGGGAACAGAGGTTTCAGTGTCTGAAATAAAAAGAAGGACAAAAAGTGACAGAAATGTTGAGTCAGATGCCAATAAAAAGCTTCAGAGAACTGAATCAGAAGATGCCACAAGCAAAGAAAAAAACTCAAATGCACCAAATGAGCTGCAAAAAGTCCTTGTTGCTGGGGGCAAGAAGTTGCGAATTATCCAAATGCCCCCAAAAATGCATTACACAAAGTTAGCAGACTTACAAGAAAACACAAATGAACACAAGATTGTGAATGTTTTTGGGATCGTTAAGTATTTCAAGAGTCCCAAAAAGTCAAAGGGAAAAGACTATTGCATGGTTATTAGCCTCGTGGACGATTCTTTTGCCTCAGCAGAGGAGAGTTTTGTTTGCATTGTCTTTGCTCCTTCAGCAGAACAGTTACCTGCTATCAAGCATGTTGGGGATATTGTTAGGTTTGAAGGGATCAATGTCTCTAAGTTTAATGGGGCTGTCAATGGATCAGGAAATTCCAGGCACTCATTCAAATGGTTAGTATTATAACATTGCAGTCCATGCAGTTAATGGACTAATTCCACAATACTGTAGCCATCTTAAATTTTAAGGCATTGTGGGGTGTTTATGGGCAAAACCTAATAAAGATGGTGGATCACATAGAGTTTCATGTTTTTGGGGGTTTTTTTATTGTGTAGTTCCAAAAATTATCCATACCCCCTCACGGAGGAAATTTTTTAAGACACCCCCTACCCCCCGGAAATTCCAGTTTTCTTCCATACAACATCTGTAATTCTGGAACTACACATGTGGATAATGGTGGTTGATATGCAGTACGTCTTTGACTGTAAAGAAAAAAATATCATCAAGCCTCACACTAGCTCTATGTTTGCCCCCTGGATTCCCTTAAGATCCAATATGGCCACCATCCGATATCATCAAAGTATGGTTGTAAATTATTTTATATACTCGAATTTATAAATTCTATTATTATGTTAGGCTGGTTTTCGACGGCTCTGTTGAAGCATCAATGATACCATCATCATCATCATCATCATCATTGGCTTCTAACACCCAAAAGTTATGTGAAGAAGAAAAGAAGACAATACGAAATCTAAAGACATGGGCTTCTTTAAATATCAAAGTGCCTCCTAAAAAAAACTTATCCCAAATCATTCAGGAAGAGTTATACTTCGACATATCCTGCCAAATAGTTTCAGTCTCTAAGGCCACAAATGCCAGCTGCATGGTTTTAAAAGTTTGGGATGGAACTTTCCCACAATGTCAGTCCAGTCCTGTTGCTGAAATTAAGAAAGGAGAATCCACTGTGAGTGGTGATGATGCTGTAAAGGATGTTCCTGAGAGACTGACCATTGATATTTATCTCTATGATGAGCACTCTTATTCAGCTGTGGCTCCTGGTGATTTTGTTACTCTGGTTAATGTTCATTCAATCCCCCCAAACCCCCAGGTAAAGAAAACAATTCATGTCCAATATTTTTTCGTCAGGTATTCTAAAAATCGTGCTTTCTGATTGGCTGTTTGAACGGGCATTATTTTCTCAGTTTCTGGCCATAGTCCGGTATCTTGACGTTATACGCAGGCGCGTATAGGATAAAGGATTGCTAAACAAGTCGAAAAGTAAAGGGGGAAAAATAAATAATTGATTTATGGTACTTAAATTTTGTCCTGTTGGGCGGGAAAAACTGTGTTGGTCATGAAGTCTTAAAAATCGTGTTTTCTTACTGGCTGTGTAAGGGAATGGTATTTAATGGGGGAAATAAATAAGTCATTTACCATTCTAAGGTTGGTCTGGATAAAAAAAAACTTGAGACCTTGGCTCATTCCATATACGTTCAAGACCTCAGGCACAGTTTTTCCCTATCCGGACCCCCCGGTCGTTAAACCTAGGTAACGTGATGTCACGGCTTTAGAACTCTATTCACTAAGCTGGGTTTTAATTGCCTTTAGGTCATAAGGCGGTTTGTTAACTATCATTTGTTTATTTAAGCCATTCAAATTTAAAGATGCAGATATCGCAAAAAGTTATCAAAAAAACGTTTCACTAGTTAACATAGTTCTATGTCAATTTTTAGGTTGGAGACACGCATACGATAGCATTCATCATGCATAAGGGTACCATTAATGGTAGAGGTGTGACAAAACTGTTAGGAGACAGTCGGGAATTCAAAGAGCTTCAGGAACAAATTGCATCTTCTATTAGCAGCAGAAACCAAGTGAAAGAACCTGCAGAACAGCAACAAACTGGCAGTAAAACAGAAAATGCAGCAGCTAACCTCCCGAGAACACTACAAACTTCTTGTACCATTACAGACTATCCCTCTATACCTTTCACTAGCGTAGAAGCATTAAAACAATGCTCCAAGGTTCCAAATAAATTTAGGTGCAGAGCCAAAGCAATGGCATTTCTTCCTCATGATGTCAAGGACTTTGTTCAGAGGTGCTGTAGCAGTTGCAAGACTCTTTCACAAGTAGATCCTTTATCTGGGAAACACTGTCAAGAAGCAACTACTGAAGTGCTCGAAAAGCGAGTTGGAGATAAAACTAACAAAGAAAACCAGAAAACGACACATGTTTTTGATAAAAATGAGGTTCCTAACAGTCAAGAATATTGTGTTGAGTGTTTTGGGGAAAAAAGTGAGTTACGAACAGTTGAGTGTTCAGTGTGCCACCAAGAAACCCATTTAGTTTATGTTTTTTCCTTACTCATCGAAGACCCAACGGGGATTCTTCATGTCATGTTATTTGACAGCGATGTCACAGATTTTCTCTCTGATCTCCCGACCCCTGAGGAATTCCTAAGAAACCCCGAAGCTCAAAACATGGTTCGTGACAGTTTGGTGTCCATCACCGACAACCACACCAATGAACTGACAGCAGAGAGCCAGCCTGAAGGATGCAGGCCTTGGATGGAATGTTGCGTTATGTCTTATGTGATTGATCAAGTTGTGTTTTATCGTATGTTTGGAACAACGCTAATATGACTGAAATTAAGCTTTCAAAATGCAAGCTTAAGAGTACACAGCGGTGGTAAGGTGGTGGGGGATCTCCGCACAGTTTACGACGATTAAAAAAAATTAGTAGAATCACAGATCAAAGAAACTAAAAAATATTTTTCCTGTAATAAATCCCGAAAATTGAAAAAATCGCAATCACGATTTAACGCGAATAATCCTTGCCTCCCCAGCAATAGCAGTAAATTGACAATCACTCGTTCAGGCCCGTAGCTAGGATTTTTGTTGGGGGGGTGCTAATTTACAAAAAGTGGACCAACCATATACTTTATTTTTTTAAAGTCCCATAGGACGCATAGGTATAGATAAATTATTAAAGTAAAATTGATTTTTTTTACTTAGTTTTACGTGAAAATATCATACCAGCCAAAATCTCACTTGCTTAAAAAGCGGACCTTTAGCTCGCGTGGTGGGGGGGGGGGGGGGGTGCGGACGCACCCCCTGCACCCCCCTAGCTACGGGCCTGCTCGTTGCAATAGATTCATTGTTTCCGAGTCATAGTTGTGCTCCATGACTACTTCAGTTGCGTATTTGAATTGTTCAATGTCGTGCGTGAACGGGTGAGACCTGATGAAGCACGCATCATGCCTTTTTCTAGAACTTAGTGACAAAAAATGCAAACAATTCGGACTCATAAAAAGAGGGCTTTAATCAGATTTCAAAACAACGTTTTAGTTATTTACAGCGTAGAATACTTATGACAAGTGTGCTAAAAACAAAAAAAGCACTTTTCTTGGTTGGTATTTGAGAATCCATGTCACTATTCAGTAAGACTTCCCACCACAAATTAAAGAAATGTTATTGTTGAAAATAGTTCACCAAAGGGGTTCTATTAGGGAGATAAAAAGAAACTACTTTTACTTTAATATTACTGCGTTCCCAGCTGGAGAAGCATTTTAAGTAATTAAACTGCAAGTTTTTTTATTGGCTCGAAGTACTTCAGTGTATTTATTAATTTATTAAGACCACGAACAGTTCAGTGATTTTTCAAGGGGAATATAATGTTCTTTTACGAGTCTTTAGGCATAGCCGTGTGGTATGTTCAGCAATAATACATAATACTATAATAATACTAATATAATGATGATGATGATAATAATAATAATAATAATAACAATAATAAACTTTATTTAGAAACGGTATCTACATCATTAAAAATAAGTTCTTTTCCTGAGAGAAGTGTATCCTGTCGTTACCAGCTCCACATTGGCGGGCTGAGACGTGGCTGAGACAATCGGCCGAATCCTTGAACAAGGAGTTCTTTTTTTTTAAAGACATTGCCGGAAATGAATTGATCCCAAATATAAAGAAAACTTCGCAGAATTACTTATCTGCCCAAGACAGACTGTTCATACTAACAAACACTAGCTGCGTGCGCGGGCATGTTATAAAACCTGGACTGGACTGATAAAGCCTGGATTGACAAAACCTGGACTGACAAAAGCTGACATCTATTTGTTGGTTGGTTCAAGCCCCACTCAAATTTGACTCTCGGACTGAACTGATGAAAAACTGTTAAAAACCATGACAAGAATCAGTGTATTTATCACATGTTGGGAATAAAACAATAACTTACCCAAAAGAAGAGATTCTATGGCCTTGAGGTGAACTTGCCGGTATTCCTGACACTGAACATAACAGTGCTGTCCCGTGCAAGACGGAAATAAAGTTACGTAATAGTTTTTTTATTTTGACATTTGCATTCTAAAGCCACAGCATTATCAGATTCTAGAAGCTCCTGGTTTATATTTTGTATCAACCCCGCTCCAGTACATGACAGACACCAGATAATAGGTCAGTTAAAATAGCTGGGAGGGAGCCAGGCTACACATTGCAGGCTTTGGTTATGACGAAATATTTGTAAGAGTAACTAAATAGGTATTATATTTTATCAATTGAAAGCGTTTTAACTAATCTGAAACTCTTGATTCCTCAATAATATTTAAATCTATAATTTTCCAGGTTTTATCACTCCAGGTTTTGTCAGTCCAGTCCAGGTTTTACGACATACCGCGCGCGCGCTCATTCCGGCTCCATATGCATGAAATACAATCATTAAAGTTATGATTATTTCGAGAAAAACTCTGATCTACCCGTCGTGGTTGAGCTAAACTAGACCAACGAGTCAAATCCTACCCTAAACACTAAATGCAATACATTCAGCACGCTGGTCTTACTCTCTACTAGCTATACTAGCAGTACTTCCCTTTAAAATTATCCAACAACTGAACGACGCTAAAAAACTTTGAACACTTTGCACGTAGTTTTTGAATCTACGCGAGCGTGTCACCAAGTACAAGGCGCGACCCTCTGCTTTAGCGTCCGCGCGTGAGTCTCAGTTGTTCATCCGGAGTGCACTAATAACTGACTTTATCTTTAAAACCTGCATGCCGACGGAACAGGTTTAATATTCGAGTCTCTATTAGTTTTCATGAGTGCACTGATAGCTGACTTTACCCGGTATCTTTAGAATTGAATGTCGATCCAAATCACGGAGCTGAGATAAACAACTAGTTCGTTCAAAACCTGTATGACTTGATGCTGGGCGTTGTAATAGGCAGAGCATGTTGAACCAGTTACGGTGCACTAATAAGTGACCTTTACCGGTTAACTTTCGAATCTCTCGTTCTAATATCAGGTAAACAAGTAGTTCGCTCAAAACCTGTTTGACATGATGGACGTAGAGGCAGAGCCTCTAGGCTAAACCAAACCTGTCGATCACGTTCATTCGAATCTCAGTAGCTCATCATGAAATAGGGACGGAACTAAGGAGGATATCCTTAACAGTTAACAACATATTAAGAAAGGACGATCACTATTCAAGGAAATTAATATTAGCGTTCATGATACACGAATTTTAGAACATGCTAGGATCACAAATCATAGAAAAGATTTTTTTTCTTGTTACAGATCACGAAAATTTAAAAAAATTGCCGTTGGGATCCCTGTAAAGCCACTCTTTATCCTCACCACAGGAAGCCCAAGGAGAAAAAGAGCCAAGGAGAAGGTAGCCTCCTTTGAAGCCGTTCTTAGGGTCGTCACGCAACGTTTCCCTAAGAACGGCTGAAAAGGAGGCTAAGGAGAAGGCTACTAATTTTAAAACGTACTAGCTTTAAAATCAAACCTGCATGACATGGACGTAGTCAAAGCCAGAGCTTACGAAACCAGTCAAACAAGTTAATCGGCTTCGTCTCAATCACCTGAAATCTTGCCAGTTTTCTGGCCTGATAAGATTCACACGAGACCGGAAATGATACCTACGCAACCATAAAAAGAAAATGACTCAGCATGGCTATAAGCAGGGCTGGGCAACTGGCAAGTTGCCTTCACAAGAAATACGATGCAAAAAAATATTCCCCAACAAAAAAGGGGGACGTTCTAAAACATGGACTGGACTGAATCGGAGTAATAGATCTGTTGTTGTATCGCCCTGAAGCCGCTAAAACCACAGACAGTAGACTTTTACTCAGCACCATTAAGGCATGGCTCTTTTGAGGAAGTGATGGAAAATCAGTTATTTATTCATATCTTTGACAGTTTATTATGAATCTTTCCCAAATTTGGCTCGTAGTAGTCATTCTTCAAGGCAAGCAATTACCGCATATCTGTTACCATGGAAACCAGGTCACGTGACACCAAGACCGCCATCTTGGATTTTTTAAACAAATCGTTTGTAATCGTATTGAAACTACTTCAAAAGTTCTGAAAATCCATATTCTTTTCATATTTGCAATACCTATATGGATCTAATTGGATATCTTGGAAATTATATTAAGTTTAATTTCTAGAATATTTTTAATTTTTTGGAAAGAATAGAAAATATTCTAAAAATTAAACTTAAAATAATTTCCAAGATATCCAATTAGATCCATATAGGCATTGTAAATATGAATAGTAATCTGCATTTTCATGACTTTTAAAGATGTTTCGGTACTTTTTCAAACGGCTTGTTTAAAAATCCAAGATGGCGGCCTTGTGGTCAMGTGACTTAGTTTCCATGGTAACCAAGGCTCTAAGGTTCCTTCTTTTCACAAAAGACATTAACTTGCCAAGTTTGGGGAAGATTCGTAGAAAACTGGCTATGATATAGCTAAACAGTTTTTCATCTGAGAGCCATGCCTTAATGATGCTGAGTATACGTGCACAGTGTAGAATACTTTATTATCCCGTCAGAGTTATTATTCCTCATTTAAATGGGAGAGTCAATTTCTTACTAATCAAAAAGGGAGGCCTACTAGTATTTTCAGAAGAGTATTTTTGAAGACCTTGACGGGGGAATATGCTATTCTAACGGTTGAGACAAGGAGTAATTTTGAAGACCTTTGATTATGAATATGTTATTCAAATGGTTTAGACATCGAATTTCATGTGTCGAAATTATTGCAAATGTCAAGACCTATTGTTTGAGCTGAGTTTCGTTGTCTGAACTGGGCCTAAGAAGCTGATTTAGTTGAGCAACAACATCGTTAAAATAGAGAGTATTGTTATGAGAGAGAAAATTAATGTTTTCAAAGACTAATTAAGCACGACATCAGTTTTCTAATTACCACTGCTTATCTCAAGGAATTCAATTGAATTCATAAGTAAACCTCTTAGCTCCTCAAATTTAGCATTTGTACCTCTGGTTACGCCCTACAAAGTTTTTACCCCTTTGTTCAGTTATTTTAGAATTATCGCCCTACAAAGTTTTTACCCCTTTGTTCAGTTATTTTAGAATTATCCTTTAGAGTCTTATGATAGAAATGTTCCTTGTAACCTTTTCTATACATTTACAATATATTCATATATTAGCTTTAATTTTAGCTATGCTTAATTCTTAGATTTTCACTCGAATTACTCGTCGTTAGAATATCGCACTTAGGAATTTACTTATTCTTTTAGCCAATCATGATTCGACGATTGTATCACATTGATTAGAGATTGACACCTGTCATAGGATCATTATAGATACAGCTCATGTAATCAGTTCAGCAGAGTAGAGTAGAATAAGGATCCCCAAGCTTCTGCCGAGAGCGGTCTCCAATGACAGCATGCGGCACGTTACAGTCACTTTAAAGATGTCGCCAATCACCTTACTAGAATAAAAACCATCACGAGTAGTTTTCGTATGAAATTTTAAAATTGTATCTAAAAAGATAAAAAATTTGCTACATTATGAAGATCGTCAATGTGACATACAGATAAGGTATCCAGATGCGTCTGACCCCGAGTCCATATTTTCTACCACGGTCCATGTTTTTTACGTCCGCTCCCTCCATGTTTTCTCGTGTCCAGTTCAGTCCATGTTTTAGACCAAAAAAAAAAAAAGGTTTAACTCTACCGGTGCACGTGACAACTGTTCCATCCGTAAGCTTCGACTTGTTGATGTATCCGATTTTTATTGGTTCCTGAGACGTCGTCGCAGTTTGTTCCAATACATGTTGAGACAAACAAATTTTCAACGAAATTAAAAATTATCTATTTAAAAAATTGTAAAACTGTCTCTCTATATTTTTTAATGTTTTATCTTTCTTTTTCCTTTTACTTCACGTAATTTATTCGATTATGCCATGTTTGATGCTTCAAGTTCAGAGAGACTTACTTGGTATAGATCATTAAGGTGAATGGAATAGTTTGCTATTGTTCTTCTTCTTGCTAGAAGATAATCATCTCTTTAATGGTACTCAAGGTCGCTATAGATCAAATTTCAAGTAATATTACTTTCAAAATCTTTTCAATAGAAGGAAAATAGCAAGGAAAGTATAGCAAAACAAAATAATTTGACCTTTAGTGTTTGCGTTGGAATGCAGCCAAACGTGCACGTACCGGTAATACTTAAGCTTGCATTTCTGTCTCAGGATTACATACGGATCCCGGGGGGGTACTCCAATATATGGACTATACGGGGATGATCCGCTGAACAGGGTATGGTTTTTCAAGCTTCTTGTCATAAACAGGGTATGTAATTTCACTCAAGTTCCAAGTTCTTCTTGAGTTTCTTGTCATATTCAGGGTTTCTACTTTCGTATTGACTGAAACTGGTTATTATGGTTATAAAAAAACGATACGCGAGATGACATGATATATTGAAACAGGAACTCAGTGCAATTAATTATCTCTTTTGTCATAAACAGGGTCTACAAATTTGAGTTTTTTTTGTCATAAACAGGGTACCCCTTTCAGAATCCCAGCGGAACACCCCTACCCAAATCCTGGCAGAGTACCCCCCCGGGATACGGATACGGATTTGGCTCTCCTTGGCTTGCCACATCAATCATCACAACGTATTCCATCGAGAAGATAAATAGAGAGTTGCATCGCTTGCTAGTTCAGTTTGAGGTTGTGGTTTCTGCGAATAACAATGAAGTCTTTGCTCTTTGTTGTACTTCTCTTGTTGGTGGCTCTCGTCCGTGCTCAGCCAGAAGATATCGATTCGGGCATCAACAAAATTAATAGAGATTTCGATGAGTTTGAAGATGCTGACGCTCAGATATCTGCTGAACATTTAGAAGGGCCTGCCGACAACGACGACGACGACGACGAAGACGATGATGAAAATGATGATGATGATGATGAAAATGACGAGGACGAAACCCGTCCTACAACCGGCTACTGGCCTACAAAGAGACGCTGGCTCGGGAAAAAGGTACAATTCTTTTTTTTTTCCCTAAATACGAAAGGCTTTTTATCAGCGTTTATCCAAATTTAGACCTCGAGGTACTAACTTTTAACCTTTATTTATAAATCCTCCGGATGAACTGACCTGTTCCGTCAAATCCAGCATTACATTGCTCAGTTTTGCGTGTTCTTCGAACCCCATTAAAAAAAATTTTAACTTTTCAACTTTTTTTCACTTGAAACATTCAAAACATGGGAAAATCTACTTCGAAAAGACAAAATATATTAATTTTGTTATTGTATTAGTAGCCCTTTTTTAAAACCCAGCACGCTATAATTTTAAATTAAAGTTGTGAGGTTTTCGAGCCCTGCGACTTCTTTTTGAGCCTAGAGATTGATTCAGGGTTCGGTATATTGGCTTTTGGGTACAAGACGAAGAAAGAAAAGTTGAGAAATCCTTTGTACCATGCTACGATCGCCCCGGCAGCTCTGTTCGTCGTCAACTGACTTAACACATTTAATCATTATGTCATTAGGAAATATTTGAAAAGTCATTGAACTCAACACTTAACTCACCAATCCTTTTGTCTCCTCGAGCTAAAGTCGCGTGAGTGTTGTTTTGTTCGGTTTAGATGTCTTGAAAGCACTTGAAAGTTGATTGCTTATCAATTTGGATTTAAATTTGCAATTTAATTATGAATATTTTTTTCCCTTTTCCAACAGTGTATGCTAAAGGCAAAAAAGTGTTTCGTGAATGCTACTGATTGTGAAGAGTATCTTGCCTGTTACGAAAACAAGACCACATGTATGGAGGCCGAGAAAAAAAAGCAGAATCCGTCCATTACAAAGACACCATCTAAAATGGTAATAATTTCATTTTTGTTCGCGGTTTAGTATCTATGAAGTAGTACTGATTATAATTGATAATTTTAATATATTTTAAAATCGCTAATTTGTTTGATTTTGCAGATTTGTAAAACTATGTTCAACAAATGCATGGAACGTGCAGGGAACGATTGCTTTAAGAAATTCATGTGCTACAGAAGGAAAGGCTTTTGCTACCGTAAACGAAAACAAGGTCACCGAAAACCTTCCCGCCATCATCACCGTAGACCTCACGGCCGACATCGACGTCCAACCATGAACCCAGAAATGGTAAATATTCAAGTAAATTATCTTTATGATAAAACAGGCCCATTATGACATATTTTTGGTTTAAACTCGCGATTCTATGACACCTAAAAATGCCCTTATTTTGGGCTGACATTTTCCCTTGTAGTTTAAGTGCAAGATGCAATGGAAAGGGTGTTTCAAGAACGCCAACAGCTGCAGCGAAAGACTTCAATGCATATACGACTTCCATGACTGCATGAATCGCTCTCGTCCTACCGGTCCACCTCCAACAATGAACCCTGATGAAGATGAAGAGAACATGAACGAATACTCACGCAGATGGAACCTCAAACTCATGGTTCGTTTTTCGATATCATTTATATTAAAATATTTAATGATATTTCATTAATAATTATAGATATTATGAGTTGGCTTACTTCCAGTTGTTACGAGCATGTGTCGTCATTCCATTTATGGATGAATTGGCAAACAGAGACTATACGGGCGCACGCGTTTAGGCGCGAAAATTCCAGACTATTGTAATACTAAGAATTTCGATTTGAAAGCGCAAATTTTAATAAGGTATGACTCGACGTTTAGTCTTTTTACGTGGTAGCCTTTATAAGAATTTATAATGACAATTACTAACATGTCCAAACACAAAACCCTCAAAGATACTCAAAGATGGTAATAGCTCCATTCCGAGGGTGAGGAAAAGACTAGGTCGAGTTGGCATTGTAGTGATGCATGGTGGGACTGTTTTAGGGGACGACATATTTCCAAGATGCACTGCAAATCCAACTCGTCCCAGTCTTTTGCTCAATCTCGGAATGGCTATTTATGATTAGGAGTATTAATTTTTCTTTTTCTTTTTTTCGTTGAAACTTTACAGGCCAAATGTAAAAAGGAATTGAAAGAATGCACTGAAAATGCTTCCAGCTGTCCATTGAAGTTGAGGTGCTTTTGGCGAATGAAGATGTGCTTCAAGTCACACCATAAACGTCCCCATGGTTACAAGAACAAGATGGTAAGTTGAAAACTAGCTAAAACTCCTCTTAGAGGCTCGAACTTTCCATTGTCGTAATCATTATACAAGAAACTGTTCAGTTCTCGAAGGTTGTTTTTCTTGGCGTGGCTTTAGTGTAGACTGAAGGACGGCAACAAAACGACTGCTGCAGGATTGATTTAAAAAAATATGTTTCACAAAACCTGTAGCCATACACTTGGCAGGATTTTTCGGAAACCATATTGTGAAATTTTGCTAGGAAGTATGCCCCTTTTCTTATTTCTTTTCTTTTCTTATTTTTTCCCCTCGTCTACCCCGGTTTCCTCAAATTCCCGGATCCGTGCCTGTTAAAAGGTAGTTTAATCATTGGTTTATTCGTTGTTTTTTTTATAGAAAATGTCAATAACCAAAATCAAAAACCCGTACTATAAAAAATTTGGCGGCCAGCAAAACAGAGGAAAGGATAGCCGCTAAGTGGGGAAAGAAAAGCTACGAAAGGGTTTTCAAACCAAATCACTAAAAAGAAATTAAAGAACAACATTAAAAAGTGATCAAAGAATCTTGAATAGAATTCAAATAAAACACTTTAGGATTTCTTTACGTTCGTTTGTTTCCTTTAGTTGAAAAACATTCTATTTTTGCCTTATACTGTAATAAGAAGATGTAACTAGCTAAAAACTAGTGTGAGCTGCGTCGGTGTTTCTAATGAAACAGTAATGATGAAAAGGTAAATTATACACCGTGAAAAGATGAAAAAACTTACTGACGTTTCGGACGCTAGTCCTTCGTCGGAGTAAAAGAGCTCTTTTGCTCTTTTACTCCGACGAAGGACTAGCGTCCGAAACGTCAGTAAGTTTTTTCAACTTTTCACGGTGTATAATTTACCTTTTCATCATTACTGTTTTATACTGTAATACGTTTTTTCTTCGTTTTAGTTTAAAATATTTCTTTTGTATTTTTTATTTGATGCTGTAATAATGTATCGAAACTATTGAAGTTTTTTTTAACTGGAAATGATGAATAAAGCTATGTCAAATCAATATAATCAGTTGCATTTGTTGTATTAAGTAATGAATACCAGCACACACTAAACAGACAAAAGTAATCAGACCAAAAAGTACATAATTTACTAGTAAAGAAATTAGGAAAATATATCTTATGAATTTCCCTGAATGATAATTCAAGGATACTCAGGAAAGAATAAAATTCTAACTTTTAGCCGCACCAATAGAAAGTTTAAAAAAACGAGATCTTCATTTAAGGTCATCTTAGATAAACATCATTTGAAAATTTGAGCTTACCAATGCCAGGACGTTTTTACTGACCGGACGAATCCCAACGTACCCCCGTCCCAGGTGATTTTGTACGTGGGTTTATGGATTTGGTTATGAAAAGTTTAACTAATATTTAGTCTAAAAATCTCCCTCAAGATATTGTTTTTTATTTTAGTTTTTTCATTCTCGGCTACCGATGACGCTAGTTGGCAGACTCTTTATGATTTGTCCACCTTTTAATCGTTAGGAATTGAGAAAATGGCTTCCAAATGGATTTAAATGTAAAGCATTTCAAAGTACGGGTGAAGACTATATCACGGGCGAAGAGGGACCCCCATAAAATACAGTAAATGTATGTAATTTGGTCTGTGAGGGGGCCGTGATATGCACTCTACGCCCGGGATGTAGTCTTTTCCTCAAAACACACCATTTAATCACAAGTCAAGCCATTTATTCTTTATCCTTCCAGTTGCTTGTTTCATAAAGCAATCGTACACAAAACCGAGGCTTATGACGATGGATTTCTAACCGCTACAGTCATCATGGACGAAGCGACAAACGGCGAGTTTGAGAACATTTTGAGAGAGTATGGAACTACATTTTATCTCGATACGCAAACTCATATGGTATTTCTATGGCCACATTACAGTGACCAAGCAACAGTAATGTTACGTAGTTCTGAAAAAAATATTATAAAAATCTTATCCCGTATCCAAACCCCATTCACTCCTATAATACTCAGTATAATAGAAACGCATGGAATCTGGGTTTCACGAAACTTTCGCAGGTGAAATCGCCTCTGAAGGCGCGAGTGTGTCTTACCTAGGATTGAAACGATTGTAGCGGAAATCAAGCTCGATCGTACGGCTAATCTCAGGATCAAATGCGATTTAATCCAAACGTACAATGTAGCGTTATCGATCCAATATTTTATTTACATTCGGGAAAAGAGTGTGGCGTTGTGTTACTCACTCGCCTCTCATGTCTTGTGTCTTGGTATCAACTCGTGATATGAACTCAACATCACATGTGAGTAGAGTTTGTTAGGTCCTTCCCTTGAGTTTTTCTCCGCAATTGTCCGGGTTTCCTCCATTCGCAAAACAAGACCCAACATGCTAAAATCCACATGTCTTTTTGCCGTCAGTGCTCTCACTTTGATCGGCAGGGTAAAAATAAAAATAAATAAAAAATAAATAACTTTATTTAAGTGTCGATGTATTTAGTTTATGCAACTAATTGGGGACACTGAGATGAAGAAATAATCACTTTTTTCATATATAGTATGGATAATTGTAATATTTTGTTATTTCCCTTTCTTTGCGGTTTACGTTGAATCTCGTGGTCCCTGTTTAGCCTTTATATTGTCCTTACACCTTTGAGAACACGGCACGGCATGTCTGTACCTAGACTAGTTCTAGACTTAATTTCTATCCGCTCAAACAAGCTGAAAAGTCGAGCGCCAGGAAAAGAATATTTAGCTTGTTGTATTGTCTGTACCTAGACTAGTTCTAGTTAATTTCCATCCGCTCGCGCAAGCTCAAAAGTCGCGCGCGGAGAAAAATATTTTTCAGCTGATTGTATCGGACAAAAAGTGAGTCCAGGCATGGATTAGTCTGTACCCTGAGTTTTTCTTAGTCATGTATAATATAATCGTTATGATCCTTTCATACTAGAAGTGGAAGGTCTTGGAAAAAACTTGCAAAGGGGTTACAAAGTAAAGCCAAGATACATACGGGGGAAGACTACATCACGGGCGGAGAAGGACCCCCATAAAATACAGTAAATGTATGTAATTTGGTCTGTGAGGGGCCCGTGAAACGCACTCTACGCCCGGGATGTAGCCTTTTCCTCAAAACACACCATTCAATCACAAGTCAAGCCTGTTATTCTTTATCCTTTCAATTACTTGTATCATGAAACAATCGTTCACGAAACTGAGGCTGATGATGATGGATTTCTAACCGCTACAGTCATCATGGACGAAGAGTCTGATAACAAGTTCGAGAAGAAGTTTGGAAACATTTTATCTCGATAATAGACATTTATGGCATGACATTTTTACATGTATGGCTATGTTAACTTATGCATACGCATGTATGTCTATGTATGGCTCTATATAACTATGTATGGCTCTATATAACTATGTATGGCTCTATATAACTATGTATGGCTCTATATAACTATGTATGGCTCTATATAACTATGTATGGCTGTATGGCTAGGCATGTACATTTATCGATGTCCCGTATCGCCTGACGTTTCCATATTGCAACGGACGGTAATGAATGGCTAGCGCAATACCACACGAGCGACTATATATACTAGTATGGACTATACAAACGCGACAACCAGCGTCCACACGGGCGATTATATAGCATTCAGTCATTAAGCACATCATACAAGTAAAATACGACAAAGGGTGAGATTCCGTACTTGATACTCCCCAACTGCTTTCGGCAGCACCGTCGGCCATGTCTTAATCGGTCACCCTGTGTATGAAGTAAGGAACGCCTGCCAAAATTTAACTTCGCAAGCAGAAATAATGGCGACGGCTGGTGAATGTGTTTGTGTGGAGTGCGGAAAGCACTGCAAGTCTAAGAAGTTATATCGAAAATTCCAAGGAGGTGCAATCAGGCTTTTGTTTTGTGTAAGTAAAGAGTTTTTATTAACCTAAATGTTATTTCTTCGTATAGATTTGCTGTTATAAACCTGCATACTTACATCCGGAGACATGACAACTGACTGATTTTCGTTCAGCTGGCATTTCTTACTTGCTTTTTTTATATTGTCCTAGCTATTTCTGCCTTTTTCCACTCTTGTTTGCTTTAAAGCTTTTATTTTTTTGCGATAAAGATTTTGTAATATGTATTTACAAGGATAGAAAGATTGTAAATGTATACATATTTTTATCAAGAAGTATTATCATGACAAAGATGTTGTAGATATCAATGTTTTGCATTCATTAAGCTTATATGACATGAACATTTTACAGGAAAGCTGCAATCAAGTGATGGACAAATACTTGGAATATGATCCTGTTCTGATATGCTTGGATATTCTCTTACACAAACCTCAAGCATACAGACATGTCTTATTCAACATTAAACCTAAGGTTAGACATGTTTTTAGAAATATTTGTGCAATTGAGGGGGGATTGAGTTTGGGAATAGAGGCTTTGCTTTGCACCATCACATGCCAGCACCCATAATACAGCTTGGATTGCCTGTGGTTAGATGGCAGAATAATAAAATCCCTTTGCTTTTGGGAATAGAATTCTTTCTGATGTAAAACGATTGTATTGTTCCTGCCATCTAACATGGCTGCCGTCACGTGATGGTGCAAAGCCTCTATAGATATGTTATTTTAACAAAAATTAATTAGGTTTTTAACTCTTTCAGATAGAATGGCACTTGTGTGTACTGTACTTGCTCAGTGATGCATGTATCCTTTTGCTGGCCTGACAAAAACTTCTTTTAGTTGAAGTGGATAGCTTCAAATATAATATACATCAGTTATTTTCAATTAATGTATATGTAGTTGAATTCAATATTGTTGAAATCATGTTAAATGTTGTATAATTTGATAGCCTTGACTTTTTTATCAGACATGAAATGGTCAGATGTAAATTATTCTCAATATCCAAACAAGACATTAGCTGGGACACTGCCAGACCACTCAGTACTAGAACTGGAATTTTACTACATATTTCTTTCTCAATCATGTATTGGTAAATCTATATTTAAGTTTTCATGAAACATGTTAATCACAATATTCTGAAATTCCCATCTTCATTACAGTTGTGCATGTAGTGTATGTCTACAGGGTCAAACAATAAAACCAATTCAACTCATCATTGCTAATGACCACTGCAAGAAGTACAGCAGTGCTAGCACAGCTCTAACCAGTTTGGTATAATTAAGGTTGATTTGAGAGGAGGGAGGGAAAACCAGAGGGTCAAAGAAACCCTCGGAGTAAGAAAGAGAAGCGAACCAAACATGAGCTCAAATGGGATGACTGGAAGTGTTTTACAAAAACATGATGATGGAATAAAGGTGGAATAGTGCTAATGCTCTCACATCTAGATTCTTATGTTTGATTTCTGGACTCCACATCATAATTATATGAACAGAGTTTGTTGGCAATGCCCCTTAACTTGAGTGTTTTTCTCTAGCTTCTTTGGTCTTCCTCCCTCTGTAAAACCCAGGAAAGATAGGGCTTTCTAATCCTGCAATACCGGTACAGTCCATTGCAATTTTCTCATTACTTATCAATTGATACTTTATTTTTTCATACAGAATATTTGTCATATCTCTTTGGTCTTCTTCTTGGTATAAAAGTTTTTCTTAGTTTGACTTCAAATAATAAAAAGGTGTCATACAGGTAAAATAAACATATCATTTGCAATATTTAGACCATTTTAAAATCCTTGTCGTACAATGCCTCTACAATCCTCTTCATTCGATTTAGAATAGCCACTTTTCACCATCTTATATCAATCAAAAAATACTAACTCAGACTGTTGGAAATTTAATTGATGAAAGCCAAAAACCCTGGTGTCTTGGATAATACATTAGTTGTACTGGTCATAGAATTATGAAAAAGGGTTGAATAAATTTATACAGGTGCTGGTGGAATTGAAGGTGTCTCCTAAATAATAATAATAATAATAATAATGGAAGTTTCTCATATAGCGCATTTCAAATACTTAATGCACTTTACATTTATGAGAACTTTACGGGCTGCATATTAAGGCGCTATTAGCTGAATATATTTTGTTCAATTTGTTTTCTAGAACAGTGATACAGTATGTCAATAATGAATATTATGAAAACTACATGGACCGAATCAGGCATAGGGAACTCTGTCCCAGATGGAAATCAAACCCACAGCGCTCCATATACTAGTTGGATAACAGATTTGTTTTCTGTTATGCTTTTTGTTTTTCACAGAAAGGCTCTCGTAGCAGTTTTGCTATCCAGCTTCGGCAAGCTCCTTGTGATTCCTGTGGTGCTATGGGCAGATCCTTCTTCTAGTCAGCTCTGTCTGTGGTTGATTAAACTTTTTGTGCTTACTTCAAATGCAGAAGCAATACATGGTTGGTTGAATTGTTAAGTAATTTGCATTCAAATGCATGTGTACTGTTACAAATTTTATTTGCTATTTGATAAAATTAGCCACTGGCTCCTCTGGCTAAGGAGACTTGGCAATGACTCCTCGTATTACCAATGCAAAATATGATGAAATATTTATTTATTCTATTCTATTTTATTTCAGTTGTTCTTGATATAAATTTTTGGAAAGCATCAATATTGGTCTCATTTGGATTCCTGACAAGTCTTATTTGTGAGAATGGGAAGAATGTGCTGCCAATTGCTTATTTTACCAACCATTTCAATAGTTCATTAAGGGTCTTGACATTTAATTGACTTGGATTGTGATTACTTGCAGAATAGTTATGTAAATTAATATATTATGTTCATTCCTGAACATTATAGTTCTTTAATTATTGTTATCTCGAAACGTCCCCTTTATCCTATGAATCCCCTATATCCTATGAATGCCCTGTATCCTATGAATCCCCTGTATCCTATGAATCCCCTGTG